CTTGAATAGACGATTCTACTCTAGCGAAACATCCAGCAAGGAACGTGACAGAGAGCCTAGCCTAAGAGATTTCGGGCTCTCCTACATGACTAACGATAGTACCTATGGGCACTCCACAGGTGATAATAAGCAAGCATAGATAAAATATAGTTATACAGGTAATTATCACAAAGCAACATGCTTAATACCAAGAGACAAACCTACTGATCACTACAGCATAACAACACACTCAATACCTAAACGTAGATCTAAAAGAATGCATATAGAGTCTTCAGCATGACTGGACCACCTCACTGGGCCTTCAACCTATGTCGACCACTCTCAAAACCTTCAGCATGTTTGGACTGCCCTTCCAACCCTTCAGCCTATCTAGACCGTTCTACGGGCCTTTGGCCTGACTGGTATGCATCGATGGTCGTTCAATCTATCTGAGCCGCCCGAGGTCCGTTGAGCAACTCCCTGGACCCATTCTGCTGACCACTCCAAAAGTATCCAACTCTCTCCTACTTAGGGTTTGAACTGTGGATCCAATTTGCAAACTATAACCCCAACCTAACCATGCACATAATTCGGTCCAACCCTAATGCTACCTAGAGCAACCACAGATACACAAGAAGAATCACCAACATGCATATACTTAGGGAACCCCTAACCTCATATTTGATCACCACCAAAAACCCCATACTTGATCGAGACTAAACATATTCTACTAATACAAAACTAGTTCGAGAAGACTTCCAAGGTTATCCTGAAGGTTGCCAAAAAACCCAAGTCTGATACGAATTAGAATTTCCACTCCACCATTGAGGGTACACATACCCCAAGATTGGGGAAACGTAAACACAATGCATAGGGGATTGGTGACACATTACTAGCTTCTTAATTTTCTCCTCCTAACCCTTCGAAGAATTCCTGCTGACGACGAACTCAACGATCAACAGTCTAAAACACCCTGACGAACTCAACGATCAACGTCTGTCCAACTACTTTCGGACATGTAATACAAACAACAACAACCAAAACCTTCAATAACTGACGCTCAACCTGAGAATCCCCAACTCTCCTTCACTTAAAACAGTAGCCACCACCCACTAGTGGTGAAACGAAAACATAACTTAACCGTCCCGACCAGATATTATGATACTTAACCATGGAATGAACAACCTACTCAAAATAATCCTCCAGATACGGAACCAAAGAATTTCAAGAGGAACCTGAGTTCCATCAGAAGACCTCTGAACTTCCGAATTATAACTACTTCTAAAGCGCAAGCAACTACCTAATTTTTGAGCCAGACATACCTTCCTTGCTTGCATTCTAATTACAACCCAATACCTAGCTTTCCCATTCCTCAAGTATATGGGCCATCGATTGCATTGTGTAGGTACTCATGCCACGTCAATCCATCTGCACACCGTGGCACTAGCATACTGCCGCTAGCCATCTCGACCAACTCCTTAAGTCCTTTATGGTGGTGACTAAAACCATAACCCTTACCTTAAACTGGCGAATCTTTATTCTACTTGTCATCCTCTAATGAATCCATGAACCTTAACTACCAACAATCCTTTGAAAACAAAATTCCCTTATCACCTCCATTTACCTAATGAGTCATGAAGTTTCGCAACACATATATCAGAAAAAAACATGTAACTAACCCGGAGCTACTTCTTACCCATACTCAACCACATTCCAAGGCAAGACAAATACCAATCAAGGACAATTTAACCACAATGTTATTGCAGAACGGAGGGGGGGGGGGGTCCAATTACATACGTAAGATTTCTTTCGGCTCGACCTTGACCTCCTGAGGAATGATGACCATTGGAATCTAAATTCCTTCCGCCCACGAAGTAGGACAATTGGACCTGAAATGAATTGGCTGGTGATAGTGAAAACATATCACTCATAGGGCGATGGATCATTTTCAAGTTCCAATCATGGCAGATGCTTTAAGATCTTCAATTGCAACATTTCACACAGCGAATATCATAGTCACCGATCCAACCAAATTGATATTCATCGATTCCATTCTTGAATCAATGTACAGGTGTGTCACTGCCGAAAGCAATGTGATGGCAAAATACAGGAACCTCCCACCCACAGGACCGAGGCAATTAACTCCTAATATGGAAAGCACGTTGTATGCCATTGATAAACCAGCAAAAATGGGGAAGAAACCGGATCCACGAAAACGGGAAACAGAAAGACGATCCTCCAAAGCCTCTACGTCCAAATAGTGTAACGCTGAAGAAGCAGCTCCTTCTGCACCAAAGAAGTGAAAGGTGAAGAAGATGTCAAGGAAACCAAAGGAAGCTTCGTCTTGTCTGTCAGATTACGTTCCTTTCTATCACGATCAAGAGAAATCAGCTGAAGGTGAAGATGCTCACCTTGAAGGATCACCGAGAGGAGATACGCCTCCACGTTCTCCATCTCCTAAGGTACCACTTAATAACTCAATTCCAACTCCTCCTCCTTCTCCATCTCATACTACAGTACCCATTTCCATTGCACCACTTCCAGCACCTATTTCATCTCAATGTACCTCCACTGCACCTCTCCTTCCACCGATCTTCACTCAAGTAACCTCAACAACAACCACTACACCCGAACCTCCAATTTGTGTCAACATATCTGATACAGGGCCACCTACCTTAGGTATCAAAATCCATTTCACATCAAAACCCTTTTCTCTATCTCCTTCCATAGAATCTTTCCCAGTTCTAGGTGCAGATGATGTCGACTTTGAGTCATACTATTACAGACCTTATCGAGTTCAAAGTGAGGATTATGATGATGCACCCCTTACAAAGTGACACTTAAAATATCTAACTGAAAAACTTGACAAACTACTCGCCTCATCTTCCTCTTCCTCCACATCATCTTACTCGGATACTGCTATTCGAGCCCTAATTGAAACATCACTCAGATAGCATGATGAGGCTATACAGAAGGCAACCAAGGCTATGGATACCTCCAATTCTTCATGTAAGGAAGCATCAGAAGAGGTAGCCATACTTCAGATGCCAAGCTTCTTCTAGATTCTCTTAAAGGCGCCACAAAGACTAACGCCAACAAGGTTGCCACTGCCATTGAGTCGCTTTCCAAATCTCTTTAGGCTGAGAAAGACAAATTTGATTTGGTGTGAACCAGTGTTCAATTCAATCAAACCACTCTTCTGTCCTGTATCACCACTTTCCTTGACAAAATTCAAGATGATCTTGCCATGGAGAACAAAATTATGGATGAACTCGCTCGCAAAACTACTTTGAAGTTCAATCCATTCACCTAACCCAGGAAAATAAGGTGATTGATTCACTAAAGACGGAGTGAGCTGTCATCAAAAGATGTGTTTCTGATGTCTTCACCATTCTCTCCAATCTGGTCAATGCCCTTGATTCGGTTCTAACTCTCTCATTTCAAAACCACTTAACTGAGAAGTTACTTCCTGCTCTAGAAATTTTGAGCCAAACTGAGGGTGTTACAGAGCCTGTTGTCACTCCGCAAGAAGGGGCAGAAGATAGTCAAAATCTTCCCAAACAACCCCTATCAATCTGACAGCCACCACTAGACTGAAGGATAATGTAGCTTCGGGTCCTAGTATGAAGGACAAAGCGAAGGGTATTATGGGTCAGAGTGATAAAGAATAGGAAACTGAAGAAAATGATTTGAAAAGAAAGCATAATGATATGGAGATTGATGAAAATCTCAGGATTCCCAGAGAAGAAGAAGAAATGGAGAAAGGAGAGAAAGATGCTCATGACACCTTGTTTTGTAGACAAACTCTCATTCCACTATTGTCATTGTAGAATTGATCAAGGAAGTGATTGAGTCCCCTAACACTCATTGGCTTGAACCAGTCGTTTCTTTTGACTGTGAGAATATAAAGGATTCTCAATTTGACATGCCTATCGCCCTAAAAACATTTTGATTTCACTATTTTGATTCAATTGTCAATGTTCCTTCTCCTGATTTGAAGGTCGATCGAGATCTTATCAATTACTATCTTGAAATATCTCTACCACAATACCTGATGTGGAACGCTCAAAATATTACATCAGTTAAGGTATTGAACCTGACTGCTGCGAGTTCGTTTATAAATGTCAAATTCAACGTGACCCAAGGATCGGACAATTCGGCCCATATGATTTCATTGGCCTATCTACCGAATCTAAATCCACATGATTCGATCTTTCTCAACAACATTACACTAACTAATAAAAAACAGTATGAGCCAATTATTGATCATATTAAGAGAATGTTAGCCTCTTACATCATTGAGGTTGCAAAGATGGATCAGGAGATTGAAAAAGTTATAAGGAAGAAGCCAACTATCAAACCGATTGGGAAGACTGGCGATGTGAACAAAATGCGGATGGACAAATTTGATTCAAAATATCACACCGTTATTTCACTCGAGGTGAAGGTCAAAAACATGTGTTCGCTCTCGACGATAAACACTTGTTCTCCACTACATGTTTGGAGCACATTTTTGACATTATACACTGGTGTAAACAAATTAATTAGAATAATAAGAATAAACTTTACGGATATGCTTCGGTGGTACACTGATTTTTGCCAAACTCTTCTTGCCACCATACCGAAGTTATTCAACACGATGAAGAAAAGCACTCTTGCTCAACCAACTTGATTTCTCGCCCAATTGAAGTAAAGGGGAGATTATTGAGTCTAAGAGGTTGCGTCATTAGGCTTAGCTCTTAGGTCCATTTGTATACTCGGTCTGGGCCTGTCCAGCTGTGTTTTGTTTTAGGGTTTAGTATATATATAGTGCATGCATACATTATATTTATGAAGCTTTTTGAAAATTGTTTTACAGATCCTGTACTGCAACCGTAGCACACCTCTACAGTAGCAATTCTCATTGAATTCTTTTGAGGTGCAGCTTATTAATCATTTGGCACTCACTTGATTCATTGTGGTGTTTATCGTTTTCTATTACTTGTTATTGTGCTATTGATATTTGTTTGAATCTATCGATCTTAGAGAATATTATTCTCATTAGATATAACATCCGTTGTTGTTTGAGCATCTCTTCCATTAGCAACATCATTTCCAAATACAAGACATTGGTCCCAATAATGAGGAAAATTTTTGCCTCTCCATTTTGCAACATTCTTATGTACCTAAAAAATCCAAAAATAAATAAATAATACATTATGCTAAAGTTACTTCAAAATTGTTTTAGATCATTCAATTAAAAACATTAACTGAGCATATGCTTGCCAAACAGATTGAGGAGCTTCAAGCATCTTATTTTCATAATCCCATCAAAAACTACTTGTGTTGTTCCATAACATCATATCATGCACAACAGACCAATCGCTCTTCAAAGTTTCTATGCGTGATTCAATATGTGGTCTTGCTTTTATTTCTGAGTTGGGAAGTGAGACTGCAAGTTATGTTTCCACCGCACGAAAGAACCCATGCTTAAAACCATTGTCAGATTTAAAGTGAGAACCCGAATTGAGTATATCAACCATATCTTCAACAAGTTTCTCATCTTCTATATCATTCAAATTCATTTTATTTTCTCTTGGTCCCCTATCACCATGAATTTGTGACTCCATACCTTAACAATAAAAAAAAGATACATAAAGAACTATATAAAGACTAACTAAATATATAACAAGTCACTATCAAACACAACATAACTGAAAACATAATATTACTAAAATTCCATATAAATGTATGACAATGTACTTAATGCAACAATAAGAAATCAGTTATTCCTAGATCTCCAAGAATTAAACATTGAGGTAGCCAAGTTTTCTTTAAAAGTCATCCATTTATTAGATTTTCCAATTGTTGTCGTGTGCTCGACTTGTGATCCAAGATCTGTATCCTCCTCATCGTTGTTTGTGTCAATAGTTTCATCATTGTGAAGTGGATCATATGGCAATTCGTTTAGTATAAAGTTGTGTAGAAGCCAAAAAGCAAGGATAATTCTATTTTATGTCTTAATAGGATAAAATGATGGACTTCTAAGTATAGGCCATCTTTTTTTATTACCCCAAAGCGACGTTCTATGACATTCCATGCAACTGAGTGCTTCATGGTAAAATATTCCTTTGCCTTTTCCGGACGATGACCATTCAACCATGTATTCAAATGATATCGTTGACCTCTGAATGGTGCGATGAATCCTTCTCCATTCGTGTACCCAACATCAACAAGATAATAGTTTCCTTTACTAACTTGTAACCCATTTTCACGAAGCATTGCAATATGCAGTATTCTACCATCTACAGCAGATCCTTCCCAGCCTGGTAATACATAAGTGAATTGCATATTAGGAGTGCAAGCAACAAGTACATTTCATTGTAATTTTGCCTTTTCGATTTTCGTATCTAGGTTTTGTCTGCCTCTGGTACGTGTACACTTATGTGATTCCCATCTATTGATCCTAATCATCCCTATAGCCAAAATTAAATATGTATGAGAATTAGAGTACTAACCAATAATAATTTATATACACTCGAGTCTAGCAAATCACATACCTTAAACCATTTCCATCTTTCATCAGTTGAAGTTTCTGATATAGGCTCGGGTTTCTTAAACAATTCTTTTTCCAACCGAATAACAACATTGCGTACCTTATTGAAGTGTTTACTAATTGTCTCTCCTGATCTATGAAACTGAAACTTTGCCACATGATTTTCACATGGTGGTCCAAAACATACAAAAATATCGCCACTTATTCGTTAATTTGGAGATACCTAGAGGCCTTTAACTTGACATCAATCTCAACCATATGACAAAACTTAACAGGCATTACCATATTAATTCTTAATTGTTGTGTACAAGTCTCATCACTTTCGTACACTAATCTATGCATATACTATTTTCTCTCTGGGTATAACATCTTTTAGCGAGGTCTAGTTGGACACATAAATATATGTATGGCAATAATAATACACACTAGTTGAACATACCAATTTACCAAACTGATTATCTCAATCCAGAATGTACTAAATGCAACAGGTTTCTTTGTTCTTTTTTATCTATTCATTTTAAGGCGAGCCATAACTGCAATAGTAATAAATTTTTGTAAAATAATGAAATATTGAAAGCATATAAAATTTATTAATGGTTTAAGGTGAGCCTAAATTTTTTACAAACTTACCCTCATTTATTTTTTCATTCCATTATCTCAAGTGTTGTGACAATCGATCATTATTTGATAAAATATGTCATTTGATACTCATGAGTATTATTATTTTTTGGTCTTTTGGCAGCATTTGAAGTTGAAGTTTCCAAAACCAATGAAGTTGGATCTAAAACTGTTACACCATTGATGATTATGATGAGGAAGATAACTCCGATGATGAATCTATATGGATGTTACTAGAAACACGAAAGGCTATTAACATTACTTCTAGAAGCAACCACTCACAAAACTACAAGAAGAAGAATACATGTTCACCCAAACCCAAACCATCAAATCATCGACCCAAGCGTGCTAAGCTACACCTAAACCCACATTACAACTTTTCTACCCGAAAGCTAGTTGATACAGTTGAAGATAAGGTGACACTGGAGGCTAATTTGAAAAGTTGTGGTTCATATGACATGCCAAGTGGGACCGGGTGGACTGTTGTAGGTCACCCCATGGGGGGAATGGGTGGGTTGAAGGATCCGGGTCCGGTGGTTACAGGCACGTCAGGTAAGAGGTGGACCGTGCTGTGATTGTTGAACAGGAACCCGACTGATTTTACCATAATCGGTCCGGCGAATAAGAAGATGAGAAAGTTCTAACTTCTGAGGTGAGTTGAGTTTGGAACTTTTTTTATATATGAAGTAGTATGTAATGTGTGCATATCATTAGGTGGAAACTAGACTTTGTGACTCAGATCTAAAGGGTTTTTAGGGTCAAACTAAACTTTAGTCATGTGTTTGGATTTATGGTCTATGATTTTTAATGTGTTTTTTTTCGTAAATGTATCATCAAACTTGTCATTTTTCTTTTGTCTTGGTCTTACTAGTGGGAAAATGTGTGTGTGTGTGTGTGTTTTTTTTCATGAACAAATGGCATATCCCTGGATATGGTTTATTCTTCTTGCATGCATATTTTATGACAAATTTTTCTCCAAACTTGTCATCGAAACCCCCTGAAATGACACCATATTAGAATCTGAAGATGGGTGTAGAACTCTTCGTTTTTTGGGTCTATATGAAATACAAAGAGTTATATTGTTGGAATGTAAAGTTTTTATGATTTTCTTTTTAGAATGGCAGCTAAAAAAGTTATAATGATTTGACCTGAATAAAGGGATGAAACAACATTCTATCATTTAGAAAGATTCTTGCTAATCCTATATCCCATTCAATCTAAATCTACAAGCATATAGACAAAACATGTTCATCCAACTTTTACAAAATGCAATTTTTCTTATCAAATTTATACAACATAAAAAAATAATTTACAGCTCTAATTATATGATATAAGTGGAACACTGAAAGAAGAACATGTATACAATAGAACACATTTATAAATTAGATAAACAAACATAAAGGCAGAGAGATGCTAACCTTCACAAATGATGTTTCTTGATGAGTATAATTTCAGATCAACTTGAAAGAAATCTAAAAAAAGGGATCACCAGTACTATTAATGGTCGAATGAAGCCATATACAGAGATGATCTACTGCCATACATGGCTAATTTTATGCGATTTTGGAGATTGTGTTTGCTAATTTGTTTTCGATTTGCAGGGAAATCAATTGATATCTAGCTGATTTTTTTGCGTTCATTATAGATACCAGGGGAAAAATGGGAAAATGTGTAGTAGCGCCTGAATGGTGTGAAAAAAAATCAGTGGGTACCCCCTTGAATGAGAACAATGTGCTCACGGGAATGTGATTCCCTTTTGAATGAAGATATCCTTTCCTTACTCCTACCAAACACACATCTTGCCATTCCATTTGAATGCTTTATTCCTTTCCTGCCTTAAGTACCCCTTACGAAACGAGCCCTTAATCCAAGATTATTTAAGTTATGTTGCAGGAAATTGTATTCATACCATAGTTAATTGCACAAATAAGAGTCGTTTGGCAGTTGATGGAAGGGTGAGCGGTGGATCCGAGGATTGACTTGGGAGTATGTAGTACTCGTGATGTGCTTTTCTCAGCAAGTGTTATAAGTTCCATCGATGGGTTTTGTGTAAGCACCTGGCCAGTTGAGGATTGTCTAGCCTTTCTATAGAGAGTGAGAATATAATGTATGCATATTCTATTGTATGTGGTTAGGGTTGTTGTGATGATCTTCCAAGAGAAATACAGGTAGGTGTGGAAGGTAGTATGGGCCCGTACTAACAGAAGTACATGACCCATAAACGTAACAGGGAAGTCACAACACCTAGGGGTTCATTATTTAGAATAGCTCATATAGTATGAATTGTGCCTTATCTGATAATTTATGGTTTTTTTTAGTATGGTGTTCACAAGGGGATCCGGATCAAGATCTAGAGCGAGTGGCCAGGATAGGGCCTGGTTGACTGAGGATGAGATTAGGGCGTTGATTTCTACTAAGGTTGTGAATGTCATCTGGGAACAGATACTAGAGCTATTCAGGTATATAAAGACCACCAAGATTCAGTACTTTGATGACCAATACACTGCACTATCTAAGGCTATTGTTGTTGTAGCTAACATGATTTTGACAACACCGGGACTTCTCTAATATGAAGCCTTAGTTATGAAGAGAGAGCCTTCCAATACCAGGATCTAATCCTTGCGATAAGGTAGTTGTCGGAAGTTCATGGATGTTTCTTATCTTGCTCCTACCCAGCTGACCATAAGGTCATGTGAGCCCTGAACCTTTTCAGGTTTGTCACAACCCCGAACCAGACGGCGGAAACGTCCGAGGGCTGTTGTGACTCAATTGAATACCATAACAGTGAATATACATGAAACATAACATCATTCATTACCATGCATTGAAATAGTACAACTGGTAGTGTTTACATTTAGTAAATTGTTTCAAAACATTACATTCCCAAAAGTAGATTGTTCGATAATAGTTAAACAAACAACAAGACATCACTGAGTACATTTTTCCCTTCGATTTACCTGTTACCTGAGAATACAAGTATTTTGAAAAACATCAACATATGAAATGTTGGTGAGTTCATAAGTAATGTTTGAAATATAATGTTTTGTATTGTTTTGAAAACCACCAGAAAATTTGATATTTTCTGAAAAGAGTATCGTATAAAAAGTGTGGAGATCCGTAAGTATGGTTGTTTGTTTCTATAAATGTAAAAAAAATTGTTAGACTTGGTATGCATCTCGTAGGTGTATGAATTGAAAACCATAGGAAAACCCGATATTTTCCTAATACTTTGAATTACGCGTTTTATATTTTGTTATACCGTTGCGACGTGTGTATTCAATATTTCCAGGTGACATTGGATTAATTATGGATTGCGAATTGTTATAAACACGCATTAATGAAAACGACTAGTTTACAACTAGAAAAACGACTCCTTAGGCGTCGTCCGTATTATTCACTTAATCCAACCACCCCGACTTCTCATAGCCCCACAATCGAGGAGAAAAGAGGGTGCGAAGCCCCCCCCCCCCCACCCCCACCCCCCCCACCCGATATTTCCATAGGTTGTTGAAGGCTATCGTGAATGCGAAGGGCCCTTGGCCCGACTCACATTTGTGAATACTCGACTTTGCTAGCAGTATCAAAGGACCCTTGGGGCCCAACATCACAAAAGCCATTCAAAGTCCTTTTACACGGAATTAGGTCATATAAGACCCAATGTCATGTAAGCGAGTTTCCTTCGGGCCTAAAGATTATGTCATTGGACTAGCTAGGCCCAACAAGCACGATTTGAAACTTTCGAGCCCAGAGATGGTGTATCGACGTCTGGTGAATTCCCGCATGTGTATTGACTTCCCGAAATTTACGCGTGTGTATTAATGTATCGTCGTGTATTAATTTCTGATTCGTTATTGATTCGAGACCGAATCAATTCGTTTGATAACGATTTTGGTGTTGAAGGTGTATTATATTTCTCCGGTAGTCATGGTACTAGTATTTCATCATAACGGATTTATTATTTAAAACATTAGAATTTTTCTTTTTGTAGCCCCTTTCATTCGAATAAATTTACAATTTTGACCCTTTGTATAAAAGAATTTCTATTTTAGTCCTTAAACCATTTTTCTTGACAATTTAGTATCAAAACATGTTGAAAAGGTATTTTTCAGCTCAAATTTATTTGAAAAAAACAGTTTTAGTCCCTCCAAAATGAAGTTTTCTCGGCTGAAACCTCTATTTTCGCAATTTTTACACTTTTGGCCCAAAATTGAAAATTTTTGCATCTTTGGTCCTTTTTAAATATGGAAAGTATTTTTAACCCTTGAAATGGACGTGGAGCATTATTAGTCCCCTGTTTTACAGAAAAGTACAGTTTCAGCCCCTCTAATTTGAAAATCTCGCAATTTAGGCTTTATTGGGTCGAAAAGTTCACTTTTGACCCATTAAGCTTAAAATTTCACATTTTAATCCTTCAAAAAGGTATATTTCCAGAAAATACATTGCTGAAACTGTGTTGACTCATTTCAACCATCATAATTTGTATTTTGTCATTTTGGGCCCTTTAATTTTATATTTTTAACATTTTGAGTCCAAAAATGGGTTTTTAGCCCAAAGATGTTCATATTAACCAACTTGGTTATTTTCTAGAAATGATTTGTATGTAATAATATAATTTATATTAGTTTCATACAACCTAATGTAACTCTCGGTTTTAAAGACTTTTAGACTAGATCCAACACCACAATCCCATAAGAACATATACATGCACATAGAAATCACACAAAGCATACATATATTCATAGATCTACACATTTGCTTGTACTCCCCCCCCCCCATAAAACTTATAAAACCAAAAAATAGGGGGTATGAAGCTCACCTTTGGGTGTGGTTTCGACTTTTAGAAGAAGTGAGAAGAAAATTTGGCCTTAGTACCTCTCCTTGGAAGATCTCGAACTTAGAGAGTTTCTAGGAGAGTGATCAAGATTTTTAAATGGATTAGAAGGAGATTTTTGATAAAAAAAAGTACCTAAATCATAGATCCAAACTTGATCTTACCTTAGGTGAAGAATTTGTGGAGATATCTTTTTGAAAGCTCCTTAGATCTCGAAATTTTGGAGGAGAAATGAGAGAGTTTCTTGATAGAAAAAATTAGTGAAATGTGTGTGTGTGTGCTTGAAATCGGCCGAGAGCAAGAAGAGAGGGAAGAAGAGAGAGGTTTGACAAGATAGTTGCATGGAAGTATGTGTGTTGCATGGAAATCCTTGGTGCAAAAGTGAGGTGGCAACCCACCAAAGTCAACCCTTCTTCTTTGTAGGCTTGGGCTGAGTATGGAGAGGGGAAGGAGGAGATTTTTGGGCATTTTGCCCCTAAGCCGATATTATATTCAGGTTGAATGATTGATGGCCCTATAAAAATATAAATGTGATATTTATGCTTTATTAGGCTAGATTAGGTTTATTATGGTCCAAAATAGTTCATAATATTTGATTTATTTCATTCTAGGCCCAATATGGCCCAAAATGTTGAAATACATGGAAGTAGGTCCAACTAGAGCCCATTTTAGGGTTCTAAGCCCAAGATAGTCAAATTGGAAGCTTATTGGTCCATTAGGCCCAATATGAACGTCCTAGTCCAAAATTGACCTAAACAAGAACTTCTAGGGTTTCCAATTACTTGTTGACTATTTGTAATGCTTGTATGGTGTATTTGATTGAGATTTTGTTGTCATAAAGTAAGCATAATACATGCTCTTAAGTTTTTGATTCAAAATTCTTACATAACTGTTGTAGTTACCAGGCACAAAATTTCTAGTTGTGACATCATCCCCCCATAAGAGGGAATTTCGTCCAGAAATTTTGTTTGAAAGCTAGATTTGAGAATGCTAGAATAGGTGAGGGTACTTTTGCTTCATTTGATCTTCGCGTTCCCACGTGAATTCTGGCCAACGCTTCGCGTTCCACCATACTTTCGCGATCGGGATTCGACTTTGCTTAGTACGCTTCACCTCCCTGTCCATGATTTCAACCGGTTCTTCAACAAATGGGAGATTCTCATTGATTTTGATCTCGTCAAGGGGAATGACGAGTGTTTCATCCGATAGACACTTCTTTAGATTAGAGACGTGGAACACAGGGTGTACACTGTTTAGCTCTGCGGGTAGATACAGTTTATATACCACTGGACCTATTCGGGCGACGATTTCGAAAGGTCCATTGTATCGTGGGTTCAATTTTCCCAGTTTCCCGAAGCGAATGACTCCTTTCCAAGGTGAGACTTTTAACAGTACTCGATCCCCGACCTGGAATTCTAAGGGCTTTCGACATTTATTGGCGTAGCTCTTTTGTCAGTCGCGCGATGCTTGTAATCGAGCTCTGATTTGAACGATCTTTTCTGTGGTTTCACGAATGATCTCCAGTCCCTTTAGCGCCTTGTCTGATGCGAGTGTTTTTGCTAGCTGGGTGTCGCCCACCTCAGCCCAACATAACGGTGATTTACACTTACGTCCGTTTAGTGCTTCGAAAGGAGCGACCTTGATGCTCGAGTGATAACTGTTGTTATACGAGAATTCGACTAAAGGTAAGTGGGTATCCCAAGACTTCCCAAAGTCTATCACACATGCGCAAAGCATGTCTTCGAGCATTTGGATGGTTCGTTCGCTTTGACCATCCGTTTGTGGGTGGTAAGTGGTGCTCATGTCAAGATGGGTTCCAAGTGCTTTCTGGAGTGATTGCCAAAATCGTGAAGTGAACCTACAGTCTCTATCCGAGATGATAGACACTGGTACTCTGTGAAGTCTCACGATTTCTCGAATGTATAAACGTGTCAGTCTCTCCATCTTGTAGGATTCTTTTATTGGTAGGAAATGGGCAGATTTCGTCAGTCGGTCGACTATCACCCATATGGTGTCCAGTCCATCCGACGTCTTGGGTAGCTTGGTCACGAAATCCATAGAAATCCCTCCCCATTTCCACTCAGGGATTACCGGTTGCTGTAATAATCCTAAGGGCTTCTGGTACTCCACCTTTACCTTAGCACAAGTAAGGCACTTACTGACATAGGTGACAATCTCTGCCTTCATGTTAGGCCACCAATAGTATTGTTTAACATCCAAATACATCTTGTCCGAGCTGGGATGGATGGAGTATCGCGTCTTGTGAGCTTCATTCATGACTACCTCCCTAAATCCTCCGAGTTTAGCGACCCAACTACGGTTCATGAAGTAGTATACTTTGTCCTCTTGTACCTCTAGATTCTTCTCCATTCCGCGTAATGCTTCGCTTGCTCTGTTTTCCGTCTTCATGACCTCTGACTGGGCTACCCCAATCTGAGTGGTTAAGTGGGATTGGATGGTTATTGAGAGAGTTTTCGCACGACGATTAGAGTACTCCTTCTGGCTCAATGCATCAGCTACCACGTTGGCCTTGCCCGGGTGGTACTTGATTTCACACTCGTAATCGTTTAATAATTTGACCCATCTTCGTTGCCTCATATTCAGCTCTTTTTGATTCAAGATATGCTGGAGACTTTTGTGGTCCGTGAAGATGGTGCACTTCGTACCATAAAGGTAATGCCTCCAAATCTTCAGAGCAAAGACCACGGCTCCCAATTCCAGATCATGGGTTGTATAA